GAAGAGCCACGGGAGAGAATCAGCGGTGTCAACGAAGCCAGGGCTAGAGGAAGCGAGGCGGCAGCGGAGGGAGCAGAGCCGCATAAGCCAATGCCTTCTCTATAGCGCCGCCTCCTGTCACAGGCAGAGTGATACCAAATGCACTCCGCCTGTGAGGAATGATAGTGAAAGTGCGCTTCGCTCATTCTGGCCAGCAATTACCATATTCCTCTTGAAAAGGTACGGCACCCGATTGCTCTGATCACCATATATTTTTCTACATGAATAAGGATTGTTGTACATTAAAAATAAATAAATAAATAAGACCTACCCCAAAAATAAGACCTAGTGTTTTTTTTGAGCCACAAAATAAATAAGACAGTGTCTTATTTTCAGAGAAACACGGTAATAGCATGATAAACATGTGAAAAAGGAGAAAAAAACAAACAAACAACTAAAGGCAGCCATCACATCTAAGGACTGGTAATCTGCATTGTATTACTTTTTCGTGGTTCAGAAACACTTTAAGGGCCATACTTTCTGGCCTATGTGGTGGTACCATTTAAGTGTTGCAGTCCACCAGTCAATGGCCTAGAAAGGATGAAGTGGTAATGTTTACAAAACCAGACACTTGTGTATTGAAAGAAAAGGGACGTCTTCTTAAAACATGAATTTTAGTTGGAAAACTTCCTATCTTTTAGATTGCAAGCTCTCACGGACAGGGACCTCCTAAACATCTTGTCTTGAATTGTATTGCATCTGTAATGTCTTCCTGTTGGCGTTATAAATACTTAATAATAATGAGCCAATACTACATCAAGAGCAACAAACTATTGGACCTTATGTCTAAAATAATCTTGTTCCTTTAAGGGAACATTACATATGGTTATGTGATTAAGCCATTTTTTTCTGTGTTGTTTTTTTGCTGTTTGTTATTTATTTATTGCAGCTTTGACATAGCAGTACAAGCACTTCGTAGAGTATACTTCCCGGTAACTTGACAAAACTCCCACTCACCTACAAGCAAACTGTACATTCACATGCACATTATGGTACATTGAAATGCAGTTAGTCATAGGTCAGGGGCTAGGATTACCTAGGGAAGCAACTACTGGCATACGTTGTAGATTATATTGCACTGAATAGCATTACCATATGGTGTGTCAGGGAAAAATACAGCAATAACTCTTTAATTTCACTATATCACTAAAAAAGTAAACCCAGATAAAGCCAAGGGCTGATTAAAAAGAACCAAATTGTAGAACTAATCAGAAAAGTAAAAGTGTTTGGTATTTTCTAAAATAAGATGAACTTAACCACAAGCTGAACCTGGCCATATGTGTGGGACATGAACATATACTTCCCGTATTCTACAGAAATCCCCTTCTATTAAGCAGTGAATGTGCAGCAATCTCTTTGTCATGTTCCATAGACAGTGCAATGCTGAGTTATCTACAAGATCACATGCTTTTCAAGTGCCCCATATATGGGGACACTAAAATAATCTCTAATATGGGTTAGTCTCTACACATGTACACCCAGGTCAAAAGGACTACAAACTATGGTATGGTTAGCAAAGATGTTGCCGTGGGCCACTGATAAAGAGGCTGTGGGTTTGTCACCCAGGACTGATGCAGCCAGAGAGAACATTTGATTGAAGAATCACAGTAACAAGATAAGTAAACTACAGTACATACATGTCTCTCAGTAGAGAGGAGACATCCATCACCTAGGGACACTAGCAGCAAATTGAGGATTCTTGGGAGTGGGAGAGGTTATATGAGGGTCCTCACAGCTCTTGCCAGTGTCCAATCATGATCTGATGGTACCTGCATATTACCCAGTCATCTTTGAATCTGCCTGTGTTCTGTATTGTATGATCAAGAAAAGAACGTTTACATCACTTTCCCCAGTTCTGGCAGAAACAGCAATGTGCCATCAATCTAAAGGGCTGTGGGCAGAGCTAGAGGTTGCTATTTACTGATAGGGCTATCAACTTTGCCAACATACAGTATAAGCAACTAGAGCAGCAGCATGGTTGAAAACACATAAGTGATTTTGCTGCAGAAGAAAGAGTGTTGTCACTCTATTAAAGGAAGTGTATGTCTATTGTTTCTACTGGCAGAAAAAGTATTTACAAAATGTTCCAGGGAGTACTTAGATAAACAGAGGGTCCAGTTTTGCTTGTATGGGCAGCCTACATCACATATGTGAATTTAAAGTTTGACCATAGTTATTCATTAAGACAAATACGAGTATTCTTTATGTGCCGCTCCCTGGGATCCTCTGAGTTACTAAAGCAGATCAACATGTGGCCTCAACGTGATGATGTACTGCACCCCAAAATATAAAAGGTCTTCAGGAGTTACCTTATTGTCAGTGAATAGGTTATGGGTTACGTTTAGGGCTAAGGAGGTGTAAGCAGTGATATATTTAAAGTGGAACCAAGTCTGTTGGGTGGGAGGTGGGCTCTTGTCATAATGTGCAAGGATGCAGAGCATCCTTGCACATTATTGCACACTTACCTTACACAGTGCCCTCCTCCACCAATGATCAGTCCAAGCTCTAGTCACCGCTTTCAGGTTGCACAATGCTGTTGCCACTGGACGGCCACTGAGGAAGTAACTCCTGCGACTACACACAAGAGGTACTGTACATTGTTCCCAGCACCCGACTCCATTCTCGGTATCTTACAGATGACAAGAATAAGCCTGGACTGTACAATACAGCGCATGTGCCATGGAGTGTTAATAGAAAATAATAATGTGCTGCTAGGAGCCAGGACACATAGTTTTTGGTAGAAGAGACTTTGCCTTTTTCTTGTGTCAAAAAATAGCTCCTATCAGTTTGTTATTTTGGGACTTTATTTCCGCTTTACATTGCCTAATGCCCCGTGCTAAGAACAATTTTGATTAAAAAACGTATATATGTTGCCTATAGCAACCAATCATATTCCAGTACTAATTTCTGTAGTGCGGCTTTAAAAGGAAAAGATAAATTCTCACTAGTTGCAGTGGGTTAAACATTTTTTTCCCCTAAACTCCAAGCTTACAGAACATCACGGTTAATGTTTTATGCTTGCTTTCCCAATATCTGCCAGAGAAACATTTAAAAGTTCAAACGTCTAAATGATTCTGACTGAAAGCAAAATACCTATAAGACATTATGTCTGGGATTTTCACTCACTGCATACAGAAACCATATACCCTTTAAGGATCTAAAACTGAATTGATCTGTTAGGTCACTGTACCCATAACCCACCTGCTCTGGACTGTCAGAAGTGACTCCAGATTCATCTTCTTAAAATGTCAGTTTATTACATACTTTAAGTAGAATTCATCTTAACTTGAAGAAACAGCTGCCCACACACTATGCTGCATACTTTCTTTGCACGTCTTTCGGTTAAGTAGATACAGGCCCAAAAGGGCCTTTTTGGATTTTACTGCCTACCTCTAAACTTCATACTGCAACTCTAGCTCTAGAAATAGTCTTTGTTGTGGGTTTTTACTTTCTTCTTTTGATCTATATTAAGCAGATTGGACATAGAGACCTATGTGGTGCTATTTTCATGGTACTGGGCACCTGGAGACCCACATGGAGGTATTCCCACCCATGGTTCGATTTCTTTTTTTGCACTTGTGCACATCTGACATTACATACTTAGTCAACAGTAATATACAATTATATTTAGACATATTCCATGAAATTGCAGTCTAACTACATGTGCTGATATGTTGCAATTTAAAAGAGCCTAGCAATTAAACTGGCCTTGTGACCTCTTCTGAAAGCCAAACTCCAGGAAAAAATGATAATTGACACACCATGTTGGGTATGTAAATTATGATGCACAGTATGGAAATTTTACCTTGCAGCATGCAGTCTTCTGCACATAACGCTGAGATTCTGGTCGCATCACCTGCCCTTCCTCACTACTTGCACATTCATAAAATGCCTTGTATTTTTTTCAAAGAATACAAGTCATACTGATATGGGTGCAAGAGAGGAGGGGGTGGTATTGTGACATCATCTCTCCTCTTCCAATCACATAATGCCTTGTATTCTTTGAAAAAAGGTATTTTGTGAATAGGCAAGTTATAAGACCGGACCACTTCACTGCCCAAGTCGCATCCCTCACTCCCTGCAGTGCCTAGAAGCCTTCGCCCGCCTTCCAATCACATGTCGCTATGTGAGTAAGAGAGAGGAGGAAGAGGCAGGCGAATAACACAAGTTTTAAACGTTTAAAAGTAAATGTCTTGCCTAAAAGACATGATTATAGCTCAATGCATCAGTGGTAAGATTGCAGAAACATCTGCATCGGAAAATACATGATTCACAGTGTTTGTTTTTATGATTTTTATGGCATAATAAGTAACCCCCCAGGTCTCCCCCATAATTCAGTAATAAATACCTGCACACACAGGTGAGTGTATTCGCCATAGTATGCCTATGGAATATTGATAAAGAGAAGATGTTTGTGCGCAAATACCCTCTGCGCATGTCAAAGTTTTGGCCTAAAATTCAGCTCTGGCCACAAATACAAGATCCTTTTTTGTTCATACATTTCAAAGTCCAGTTAATAAAAATGCTTAAGAACTCTGCACTGACTGCAGAAAAATGTGCTATTTAATTAAAACAGGTGTGCCTAAATTATGAGCGGCCTACAGATATTCACACCAGCCCCAAAATTATCTTGGTTGTACCAGGCCTTTTTCCCCATAGAATAAAAAAATGACAACTTGAGTGTTGTACACTAAGTTACTTTAAAATGTGATGATCAGATGCCAGAAGTAAATAAGAGGCTCATTTTCTCATATTCCACAATGACATCATTTCAGTTTAATGACCTGCAAGACTCCATTGTGTTGAGTTAGGTCACTAGATGTCTACTGAAAAATTTGCTGGATACATGAGAACAAATGTTTCCTGTGATCTTAAAAAGAAGGTACAAAACAGACTATGACCAGCCAGATCATTTATGTTCTGGCAGAAAACAGATGTTTGATATGACAGATAGACATTACCTCTGAAGGTCCCAAATCCTGAGTGGTGATGTATGGCGGCAGCAAGCTGTCCCAGTAACAAAGGAGCTGTAAAAACATAAGCGGGAGGGAAGGGGAGATTAACCAGCGATGCAGAGATCATGGGGTTCATCTGTTCTGTTGACAGTGCAGACAATAGGGTGATTCAATGTATCAAGTCATTACCTTACTGCGCTCACCTAACACACTGCCTAGTTAAAACTCAAATATCACTCACTCTTTAAGTAATCGCAGACACAGAGGGGGTAATTAAAGTGTATGAAGGAAGAATTGGTTGTGCTATCTAGAGCAGCCAATTAAATCCCCCTTTTGGTTTTTAATGCAGCATATTAGAAAAAAAGGGAAGATTTGACTGGCTGGCATATTCACCAAGAATAATTCAACTGACTTTTGATAGTGAGATACTGTTACCTCATGCGACACAAAATCAGATATACGGTACTCTAGAATAATTTACACAAATGTTTCCTCTGTTCTCCAATGATACAGAAGCAGTCAGTAGATGTGCTGCGGCTGTTGTGTCTCTTAGGCAGGGCTGGAGTTCCACCACTGGAAGGTACACAAACTTTGACTACTAAACTAACATCTCTCTGCTACCATCAGCTTCTACTTTCTTCATTTACTGGTCATAAGTTAGCTTAGACTATTGTGACAATGCGTTAATAAATTGGTATGAGATACAGTATTTCTTCTAACAATGCGGAAAACAAATTCATAGATGGAAAAAGCATCCACTTGCCATTAGGCTGAATGGCAAATCCAGGCCCTGCTCTCTAGGCAATATTGGGGTATGCATCAGACTCATTGCCTTGGGCAGCATGAACAGGCTGCTTGCTGTTCCAGATCTCACCTGTAGTGTTGCTGTTATAATTCTAATCCATTAAGGTGGGAAGGGATCACCCCACTTTGCTACAGGGGTTGCACTACTGATATAGAACTTTTTTTTTTTTTTAATTCTTGAGTGAAGAACTGCACTGCTTACTGTATATGATAATTTAAAGCTGAACCCCAAGCAGATATAAAAAAAAACACAAAAAACAAAAACCACACAAATGAATGTGGATCGTTTTTTCAGAGGGGCAGTAAAGTCAGCCGTTCGTGTGAACGAGTCCTTGCTGCTTAATGGCAGGTTGTACAGACTGTTAAGGTGTCCATACACCTGCCGATTATTGTACGATAATCGGCAGGTGTATGGAAGGCGTGCGAACGTTTCTACTGTACGGTCACAAGTCTTTTGTCTTCCGAGCACGCTCGAAAACCCGCCGAGAATCGTACAATTTTCGGTTAGTGGCGTGCTCGGAAGACAAACGTCGAACGGGCCAGTGTGCGCAAGCGCACGATGCCCCCTCAGCATTGGAATCATCGCAAGCCCTCCCCGCTGAGTACAATCTGCCTGTCCAAGATGGGCAGATCGTATGAGATTTTAGTCACCTTACAACCATCGCACAACGAAAGTCGTGCGACGGTTGTAAGGTGTATGGGCAGCTTTAGGGTGAGATAAATTTCAGGACCATATGGAGAGAAATACAAATCCTTCAGAAAGGGAAAAACAGCTCCCATACAGTATATGTATCTCAACTTTGTATTTAGCTATTTGTCAGATATTCAGCTTTAAGTAATAAAATAATTCAACTATGTTGAAAACAATGTTTAAATATATCTATAAAAAAATATAGTTTTGTGAACATTTTAAATGATAGTAGTGACATTATTTTATATAATGCTCAATAAAAGCGAGAGATCATTCATAAAAAAAATAATACACACCAAAATTGCATAAAATCTCTGAAATGAAATACAGCAAACAGTTAGACATGAGTCTTAGTATTACAGCATTTGGATGCAATAGAAAAAATAACACTTCTAAATGTTTTTCTTTTCGCTCTAAGAGCAGTTCTTTCAGTAGCAATTGGCCTTCAAAAAACCTGAGAAAAGTATTTTGTCAATGAAGCATGCAACTACAAAGTAATACATTATTTTTCCCTTTTTCTTTCCCATAATCCATTAATAACTACCAAAGCCAATTACTGGGGTGAATAACATACCAGCCTCACTCAAATCATTCTAGTGAGCAATTTGCTTCTTAAGATTCTTTAAAAAAATGTAAACAAAGGAAAGAAGAGCACTTTTTTTTCCAGAGAAGGTATGCAGTAACACTCCTTGATTGTTGCCACGGGTCTAAATTAGCATCAAGGTAAGTCAATAGTGAAGAGAGAGGGGAGGAAACCACTTCTAATCCCTGCCACTCCAACAAATCTGACCTCCCAGTAGGCCTGTGGTAGGGATTATACTAAGGCATTTTTCCAGGTGCACACTGAGACGCTGATTTAGTAAAGGCGTTCTGTCTCAGCAAGATACCTGTGGCTTTCCCACCACCTTGATCTTTCCACTTGAGTGCTCCTCTTCTTTAATAGAACAAGCTTGAGTCTTTATTCTTTTTAAAAGATTGGCCTTATGTGAGTTTGTGTGGCACAGAATAAAAAGGCCAGGAAAAAAAATAATCAATGCTTTTAATTCTCATGAATTTTCCAAAGAAATATTAAATGTCTTTAATTAAATGTTTTTAAATCTAATATGCGATTATATTGCCAACATTTCAAAAGAATACATATCTTAATTAAAATATTTAAAGACATTTAAACCAACTTAAAGAGGTGGAGAGATTCTACTGTTTAGATTGTGAACATAGACACTTTACTTGCACCAGTGTTCAGTTAGTGAAGGGTAACAATGTGAACCCAAGCTAAAATATTATGTGTGTAGAGTTTCTGAACCCTACATTTAGGCAGTGCACAAGGCCATCTGGAGTGAATACTGAATGGACAGCAATAGAAGTGCTTGAGCAGTGAATGCAAAATTAAGGCTGAGTAGATATAGCACAACACAACAAAACACCTTCAATTTAAGCTTACTCAAGCATCTGTGCACTTCACCGAGCACAGTCACTCTTATGCCCACCATACACATTGCAATTTAAATATTAAAAAAATTCTCATTCACTTAATTATTGAATTAGCCCTCACTGATATACTCCCGCTATTACTCTATCTTCAACACAGTTGGAAAATTGATTGAGACACTATTTTTTCACATAAATAATTGATATCTATGATTGAGTATCTGACATTTGCAGAGACTTTACATACTTTCAGTAAGAAATTGTAGAGATTTTCAAACTGTCTGATCAAAATGTCTCAGTCAAACATGATAGATTCTTATTTGCTATTGGTTGGCTATATGTTTTGCCTGCTCAGTTTGTATGAAATTTGATCTGTTGGGTTACATCATTTACACAATCAAATTATATCGATTATGTGTTGGGTCACCTTAAGTTCTGCACAAGGCAGACTCTGTATGGCCTGTGTACACTGCGCATAATAATCCCAGTAGGGTTCCATGGCTGTTATTCACATATGTGTATTAGTGTTTAGAGTAGGAATGCACTGATACCGTTTTTTTGTTATGTAGATGGAGTACCAATATTTTTTTTCTGGTGCTCATATGGATTCATAATTGCAATCAGAGTTCACTTCCAACCAGCTGCCTTTAGGAAATCAACGGAGGATAAGAAGCAGAGTATCGAAGGTGCAGCGTACAAGTATACCAGTTATCACTATGGACTGGCAATACACTGAAACATACGTTTACCTGGGTCTTCAAGGCAATATTCTTTGCAATTTGTATCAGTAGCTGGGAAGTATTCATTCAGTTGGTCAGTATACATTCTGCCACAACATCATGAAGTAAACAGTGTTGCCAATGACTAACCTCTTTTCTTATAAGTAAATGATATAGAAAGGTGTCAAGTATATTTGTCAAAGAGGTAACAGATTTGTATTCCCAATACAATGAACTATGGTTTTAAATCTATACATTAGTTTGGAGGTAAATACGGCACAATAGTTGAAAACAAAGGTTGCTTGGTATATGTTTTTATATCTTTGTGGCTTTACAAACTGTTTATATTGAGTTTTGGTCTGTGGCTGTGTAAGGCTTTACCAAAGAAAAAATGCATTGTATTACGGATTGCTAATGGCTTTCTACAGCAGTGTTTCCAACTCCAACCTTCAATTACCCCTAGCAGGAAATGGTCTAAGCATTTCCTCTGATGACCGCTATAGCAATTACTGACCAAATGACACAAATTAAATTTGTGCAAGGAAAATTAAGGAAATCCTGAATGCACAGACTGTGCTGGGTTACTGGAGTTGATTTAATGCATCACAATCAAAGTCTTGAAGAGCTTTGGTTATAAAAAGTCCCTCATGTCAGTCATTGAGTGATCCTAAAGCATCTCCCACTTCTATTTAACACCCCAGCCCACCCCCACACCCTCAAAAAAAAAAACTCTCGCCTAGAGAGGCTTCTTTCCATGTCTCTCTTCATACTGACACTTGTGTTCTTATACAAGTTTTACTCGATTTCTTATTTGGTCTAAGTAATTTAAACAGCTCATGAACTTGAGAGAAATTATATAACAGGTATTGATTTCAGCACTTGTTTTTTTTTTACTACACTGTTTCAGTAACAATGGCTAAAAATAATGTCCACGACCTTCAAGCAGGTGACAAAAGACAAATTGGATGAGAGGCGAAAAACAATACACTAAAGCAGGTGAAGAATGACATGACCCCAAAGCCGCTAACCATATATTCTTGTGGTTTGTGTATCCTCTGATTCAGCAGTGACACGCTTTGGCAAGGAAGGCCACCATAGCTGTCAAGTCCTTCATCTTTGTGCCCATCAAGTGCTTTCAGCTCTTCCCGACCCGTACTGGCATTTTAATTACTGTTGGGTAAACTAATTTGTCCAAATGAAGGCAACTAATAGAATATGCAAGCTCTCTGACCTCTGACAGGCAGTGACACAAGATACAAAGGAGGCTAAGGAAAGCTTTTTATCTGAGCCTTATTACTCTCTATTACTACAATTAGTTATACTCCAATGCTTCTAATGGGGGGGTTGGAATTGCAATTAAATCAATTTTTGATGGGCTGAAAGTTGGTTAGAGAACTAACCAGCCTGTGAAACAGTGATATTATAGCAGC